GAAAGAGCTATGGAGTGGGGACTATCAGCCAGAGACACAGTCTCTGCACTGTGTTTCCAACTTCAGCTTAAGGGCTGGTAAGATGGCTAAGCGGATAAAGGCTTCAGCCCCAAAGACTGATAATCGGAGTTCAGTTCCTGGATGGACTAACTCCACATCTTGTCCTTTGGCTTCTACACACACCTGCTGTGGTTAACAAGTAGACACACACAAGTGCAAATGGAAAGTCAGTAGAGAAATGCATAATATGATGATAATGTTCACATACTTATACACACACATTTACACAATTGTTTTTAGAGTAGACACACCAGAACGGCAACATATGTTATACATAAAGAAAACCCAATTTGATGAAAATATGGAACCATAGCAGGTACACAAGTTCTTTAGTTTTTAGAATTCCACAGGTAGATAAAGTTTTGCTGAATGCCTTGTTTTACTTTATTTGATTAGAGGATGATTTCAGTGGCTGAAGCAAGAGTTAATGCTGGGGTAGTGTTGTGGGTCACTGAGGTGTGATGCTTAGTGAAGGTTCCTTCCCAGAAGGTCACCGAGGGCCAGGCATCTTCTTTTCCATGTTTCAGACGGGCCCTAATCTAAAGTGGATGTGGCATAGCACAAGATATGTGGTGACCAAGCTCTTATGTCCATCTCCCAGAGGAGCTGTTGGAGTTCCTTCCACTCTAGAAATAGGATATGTTCTTCTGCTATGATTCTCTGTGAGGCAGATGTATGTCCTGGGGTCAGATGCCTGACACTTCTGATAGGACCTTGTCCCTCATTAGCAGAGTGGGCTGGAGGGCACATTTGTCTCCTCTCTTAAAGAACTGCTGTAGCTAGAGTGTTCTTTCCTTCATGGGATCAGGGTTCTCAGATCCAGACAAGAAGGAACAGGACTAGAGCATTCATATAGACTTAGAATGTCCAGGCATGCTCAGAACACACATGCTGTTTAAGGAATGAGGGCAGATTGTCACTTCCCAGGGTCTAGGGACAAAGCAGAGCAGCCTTTGGCTAAAGCTCACATTGGAACAAGCCCCAAAGCCTCTGATTCTGTTCAGCATATCCTTTCTCGGAGAATTACTAACAGATTTGTAGAACATAAATTTCAAATTCCTAAGTCACATTCTTTACACACCCAAGGGAGAGAGTGCCAGTGCTGTGTTCAGCCCCAGGTGTGGAATCCTAAACCCACAGGAGGAGAGAGCTTCTGCATGGAGTCTGGAGTCTGGTGCCTGTGTTGCTTTAGGTGTGAGGAGAAGAGACTCCCATGTGACAGCAATCCTAAATGTATATGTATCTTACCCAACACTCTTTACAAAATGGGTTCAAATACATAGGGTCCATTTTCCTATTCAAGGGGTTCTTAGAAACAAGCAATCTTCATAATCTTAGAAATTGGAAAAGGTAAGTGAGAAGAATGAAGCATTCCTAACCACAGTTTACCACAACTTTCCAATCACAAACCCTGTAGCACTCCTTTCTTCCAAATAAGGTCAGGCTGGAGCCCATTGCCCATTCTCTTGACCAATATCCCTCATAGGTAGTTGGTAGTACCATGCTTGAAAAGGGGGAATCTCGTCATCCCCCAACCCCAACTGTAGCTGAAGTTTTTCTCCAGTCCTGCCTGGCCCATGGTCAGGACAAATCTCTCTCACCCACCAGTCCCGCAGCAGCTCAGACCCAACTGAGTAAACACACAGAGACTTATATTGCTTACCCACTGTATGGCCATGGCAGGCTTCTTGTTATCTAATTCTGCTATCTTAAATTAACCCATTTCCATTAATCTATACTTTGCCCTGTGTCTCGTGGCTTACCTATACTTTACATCCTGTTCGTCATTGTGGCAGCTGGCAGCATCTCCTCCACTCCACCTTTCTGTCCCCCCAGTTCTCCTTGCTGCTAGTCCCACCTATACTTCCTGCCTGGCTACTGGCCAATCAGTGTTTTATTTAT